TGGTATGAGGCTGCAGTATCCAGAAACCACACATCCCCACGATGTGCCTTCTCATCTACAGCCAAGGCGAGATCGTCTTCAGAACTGTTGTCCACTTCTGCCACGGCAACTGAACCTTGTTTCTTCTGTTGCCCTCTTCTCTTGGGACAGTTGTACTTCCAATGCCCCACTTCCTTACAGTTGTGACAAGCATCAACTGGCTGTGGACCGGGACCCTTGGAATTCTTGCTCGAATTCCCTTTACCAGATTTCTTCTTTCCCTTTCCACCTGTAACAGCCAAACCCGATGCCTCACCACCTGTACCAGATCCGGACGCCTTATGCCTGATCTCTCTCGTATGAAGAGCAGACCTGACATCCTCCAACGACACGCTTTCTTTACCAGCAATAAAAGAATCAACGAAATTCTCATATGAACTCGGCAAAGAAACCAGCAGGATTAGGGCAGCATCCTCGTCATCAACTTGAACATCTATATTACGCAGATCCAGCAAAATAGAGTTAAGCTGTTCGAGATGTTCCCTCAAAGGCATACCTTCTTGCATCCTCAAGCTGAACAACCGTTGCTTGAGATGCAGCTTGTTGGCATACCTTCATATACAGACTCTCCAGTTTCAACCACAAGCCCGCGGCAGTCTTCTCAGCAGCGACTTCAATGATGATGTCATCAGACAACGATAGCATGATGGTCGAGTGGGCCTTCTCCTCTAGGGTATTCCACTCATCGTCATCGACCGCTGCCTTCTTCTGTTTCGCAGACAGCGGCCCCCACAGCCCTTGCTGTTTTAATAAAGCCTGCATCTTGATCTGCCATATAGCGAAGCTGTTCTTCCCCGTGAACTTTTCGATCTTCATGTTCACCGACGTCATTCTTCTGAATCGAAAACCCTAGCCTGATTTCCAGCCGCGGCTCTGATACCACTTGTTATAAACGCGCTGCTACGGATCAGGAAATCGCCGGAATCGACAAAGCAAGAATACGAAAGCGAGAATCGAAAGAACACAGACACACGATTTACGTGGTTCACTAACACGATGTGTGTTAGCTAGTCCACGGGCGAGAGAGAGCCAGTTTCACTATATCGAGGAGATTACAGATTACAGAGGAGTATGAGAAGTGTTTATAGTACTTCTCCATGTGGGTCTAAACCTAATCCAATCTGTCAAAGAAACGGTTACAGACCAGGCCCAGAACCTGAACCCAAATAACATTGAGACCCCCGATTACCAGTCGTAGCGGCTGATAGTCCGATTCAAGTCACATCAACACAGCCTTTGAGTTCCCCTCCCGGTTGTCGTATCTTTCTACCTCGGTCAGAATCAAGCTCAGAAGCAAGCCCAGGCCAACGGAAGCAGTAGTTTCTCCGCCGATAGCACGCCGCCTCTCCGTCCATCATTGCATGTAGCTTCTCCGCCGATCAGTCCCCTATCCCAGCTCGTCCAAACGGTAGTTCAGTAGGTATGGATAATCGAGACACGAGTTTCTATTTCTTATCGGTCGCGACTCATATGCGGCGTGTAACTTTGGGACCAGCATGCTTTGTGTTGTTCTAGGACATGGTTATTGAGTTAGGAGGACTAGTTGTAGTTGAATATGGGCGAAATTGGGTTCACTGTGTTGATCTTAAAACGTATAGAATTAGCTACGTATGGGCAAGGTTATGGCTCCTATACCGGACAACTCCAAGCCGGAGAAGAAGGGGCGTTTGCGTCGCGTTGCCCCCAAGATCATTGCGACAGTCAATCAGGCGACGCAGGTCGTGGGGGGCGGTGGAGATCCTACTCCGATTACGAGACATGAGCCTCGTTCTGCTCGGAAACCTCAAAAGGGACGTTTCATTCATGGTGAGGGGAGCCATGCACGTGGCGGAAAGGATGCTGGGCCCCCTCCCCACTGCACTCAGCCATGCCCTATCGGCTGGAGCGGAAAATGTTGGGGAAATCAATGGGGAGAAGGGGGCTTGTGCGAACATACCGCCGGTCAATGCCGTGGCAAATTTGGTGGGGAATACTTCCCATGAGAGGAGTGACACTCGGGGATGGATGATGAGAATCAATGTTTTGAAATAAAAAAATGTGTCTCGGTGCTTTCCTCGGTGGACCATGGTCAGGGCATGGTGGGTAAAGTCTCTCAAGTCGTGGCGGCTTTCAAGGTAGGGTTGGCTATTGCGCAGGATAATGAGGATCCGCACACGATCAAAAGTAAAGCACCGAAAGATGGAATGCACGAGCAGGGGGCCGAGGTTCTTGATGAATATGGGTAGAATATGACCAACCCAATGATTGAGACCCACAAACGCTCTTTGGCAGCCGTCGAGGGTGAAGTTGGATCCCCTCCCACCCCAAAGAAGCACTTTGTGGAATTTGCTGATGTTTATGACAAGGAAAAGGTGGAGGAAGCCAGCCTGAAATGGCCCGAGTCAGATAAATGAGGCTTCTCGCCTCGAATGTGAGAGGGATTGGATCGTCCCTCACATTCCAAACTGCTGTAGGTTTAGTTCGTTCTAATAAACCGGATCTCGTGTTTTTTTCTGAAACACGATCGAGCCGGAGTGTTGTTTCCCGTCGTATGCGTGGTCTTGGGCTCTTGGCTTTGATATTTCCCAGTGTTTTTTTGTGGATGCGATTGATGCGTCCGGTGGTCTAATAGTAGCTTGGTCCCCCGGAGTTGATGCTTCGGTGTTTTATCATTCCAACTTCTAGCTCCCAGATTAATGAAGTGGATATTTCTTATATTGTGATTTGTGTTTATATTAGTTGTCATTCTGTTATTCGAACCGCCCAATTGGCTCACCTTCGGGAGCTTTGCTCTACCCTTACACTTTCTTATGTGGTCATCAGAGATTTCAACTCTACCCTTCATATGAGTGAAAAGGACGGTGGTAGCCCTTGGAATGCAGCTCAGTCAATTAGTCTGAGGGATTTTATCCAGGACCTCGGGATCCTTGATCCCGGATTCCTTGGTGATCTGTTCACTTGGACTAATAGGAAGATGGGTGTGGCTTGCATTCGTGAAAGACTGGATCGGCCTCTTTGTTCCCAGACATGGGTTGCTCGGTTCCCGGAAACCTTGGTGAAGCATTTCACGGACCAGGGCTCTGATCATCAAGCTCTCCTTCTCTCTGATAAACCTTAGGCTCGAAATAGTCGCCCGCTTTTCTGGTTTGATGCCCGGTGGGCTGATTATCCGGAAGTAAGAGCTATGGTTTGCTATGTCTAGCAGGAGGATATACAAGGGACCCCATGTTCTGCCTTTGGGAACGTCTTAAGCGACTCCGCCATTTGCTCTATGACTGGAGTAGGGCAGGCACTACGATCTCCTTACGGAATATCAAAGCTCTCCAGAGTGAAATTGATAGGGTAAAGCTTATCCAGCCCATTGACTGAGATGAGGTCAGAAATCTGGAGAAGGAATTAAATCGCCAGTGGGAGGCGGAGGATGCGTATTGGCAACAAAAGTCTAGGGTTCACTGGCAGAAAAAGGGTGATAAAAATACTGCCTACTTTCATACAGTTACCAGAACTCGTCGTAAAAAGAATTTTGTGGAGGGCCTTCGTAGTGAGAATGGAGAGTGGATTACGGATGAGACTGGTAAGGCAACCATTGCGACCTCCTTTTATCAGCAACTTTTCACAATGGAGAACCAGGTGGCTAACATGGCTGAGCGTGTGGCAGTTTTGCCTATTGCTCGGACTGTTACTCCTGAGATGATTGCTAGCTTAACCGCGGAGGTTCTCCATAGTGAAGTTCGCAAAACGGTGTTTGCTATGGGGTCGAAACAAGCGCCTGGGTCGGATGGTTTCACTGGTTAATTTTTCAAAACCTTCTGGGATATTGTGGGAAGTTCGTTTGTGGACGCGGTGTGCTGGTTCTTCACGACAAGTCGTTTACTCCGTAGCTTCAATCACACTTGGCTTACTTTGATCACGAATGTTGATCAGGTGGAATCCATACGGAAATTACGACCTATTAGCCTATGTCACTTTGTTTATAAAATTATTACCAAAATCATGGCAGAACGACTTGCCAGTCTCTTGCCGCAAATTATCTCGGAGGGTCAGAATGCGTTTATCAGGGACCGGCAGATTGTTGAGAATATTCTCTTGGGTCATGAGCTAATGCATTATTTGAAAATCAAAACGTGGGGCAAGAAAGGGTACATGGCTCTAAAGGTTGACATGGAAAATGCCTATGATAGAGTCGAATGGTCCTTTCTTCTCGCGATTTTGGACAAAATGGGTTTTAACTCTACCTGGAGAGGTTGGATCCACGAATGTCTCCAGTCTGTATCTGTAACATCCCAACCAGATTAAACAAAATAGAATAAATTTGAAAGGGGAAAATAAAATTCCTCTACATTTTCTAACGAGACCTCATTTCGTGAAGTTTACGTCGTTGACGAGAGTAGATGCTGCGGGAAAACAATAATAATTGGTTGATAGATATGAGTGTACATTTGAAAAATATATCAGGAAAATTAAAAAAAAATCAATAGCAAGATTCGAACCACTAACCTGCTGCATATGACCAGAGCTAAGACAAGCAACTTTGCCGCTAAACTACGCCTAATATTGTGTACAAGAACTAAACCCGTTTTCTTATAACTTGTTTTGACGTCTCTGCTGTAAGAGGCAGCCGGCCTTAGTCACACGTCGCCGTATCAATGGAAGAAGCAGCAGCCTCCACGTTACTAAGCTGGGCTTCACGTTCAAGCGGCGCCCGACGTTGGAAATAGGTTTCCTTCTTTCCAATGCACCTGCAAGTTAGAAGGCGGCTTTCAACGAGGATTTATTGCTGCTGCAGCTGATGTGAGTAAGAAAGAGGGAGGCTGAACTGAAGTTTAAAGTTCCTTCCTCTTCATCGCTTCTTTTGGTTCTTTCCGAGTTAGACGAAAAGAAAGAAAGAGAGAGGGGAAGAAAGATTAGGAAATAGGTCGAGCTATAGCCTCTCAAGGATCAAGGGATAGTCAAAGAACTCCCAGAAACGACCCTACGATTGTAGAATCGTCCATAGAAGTCATCGGAGCTTCATCGGAATAATCCCGACGTCGACGTCGGCATCGCCAACTGCGACGATAATTCCGAAACTTAGTACCGATGCGTAGAGCTCGTCTCCAGGATCATCACGGGGTCGACGGAATCGAATTCCGAGCTCAAACGAGGGAGAAACGAGGTTCGAAAGTTTGTTCATAAAATTGTACGATTTTAAGTTCCAGAGCTGTGTCTGACAGTTCGAAAATATAAGGTACTATTCGGTAATTTTCCATACTAATTTTAATCGGCTCGCAGTTTCTTCGTTTGACGTCCAAACGATGAACCGTTTGCGCCTACACGACCGTGGGAACGAGGAGAATTTTATAGAGTCAATCTCTGGAATTTTAGAACTTAATTCCCGACTTGGAATCGGCTAAATTAAGGTGTGTGGGGATTAAGAGGACCTTAATTATTGCATCAATTATTTATGCTTGATTTGCATATTTGGATGGATGGATTACTGTGGGTGATGAATTATTTGTTGATATGATGATTTGGTGATTATTCTTGATTGTTATGAATTTTACGGTGTAAATATCGGTATTTGACGAGTTTCCCCGTAAAAATGAATAGTTGGGTTTATTGAGTATAAAACTGATCTAAGAGATTTTTGTTTGTCTATAATGGTGTTGGAGCAGATTGAGCAGAAGGTTTTACTTGAAAATGGTTTGCGGATTAAAAACTGCATAACGGTGAATTTTACGAAAATCTCGGTAAAAACGTGTTTTATTTATCTTTAAGATTTTGATCACTTTAAAATGGTCAGTATGGATTATTAAATGGGTTGTGGTCTGTAAAGGGTAAATTAGACCGTTGGTGGAGTTTTTATCTTTAAAAAGGTAAAAATGAGCTTAATACGAGATTTGCGATAAATACCGCGTGTAATATTATTTTCATGGTTTTGAGCTGTTGAAAAAAATATAAAAACTGGACAGACCTGTTGTAGGATGATAAATTAAGGTTCTTGTATTTTTTGGAGATTTTCGGAGTTACCGGTTGGTTAGAATTTAAATTATCGTAAAATAATGGTTAATACGAAAATTTTGAGATTTTATTCTCTAAATGGTTGTTTATGATCAGAACTGGATTAAATGGTTTTTGGTGTCAATAAAATAATTTATATGGATTTTATGAGGATTTTAACGAAGGAAAATGAATTAAAAGTATTTTCACCGCATACCGGTTATTCATGATTATTTTGAACCGAGGTTATTATATGAAGTTGTGTGATGAATTTTGGATGAGGAATTATGATCTAGAACTATTGAGTATTGTTACTGAAGGATGATGATAATTTATGTGATTCGAGATTGTATGATGGATTGGATTTCGAGAATGTCGAGTTGAAAACCGACATGAGATAAGTATGGATTGGGAATCAGTGGGATGACATTGATTCCTGGATTGATTGAGATGATGATGAGTTGATGAGATGAGAAACATGAGATCCATTTGGATTGAGAACTCAATGGGAATGCATTGATTCCTGAATTGGTTTGATGAAATGTTTGACGTGAGATATGCATGGACCAGTTAATCAGTGGGACTGCACTGATTCTGGATCGATTATGCATGGACCGGTTAATCAGTGGGACTGCATTGATTCCGGATCGTTTGTGATGGATGAGAGAAATGGAATTGTTTGATTCGTGATCATATTAATTCACATAGACGTAGAAAGGGCCTGTACTTTCACCCCCAGATGATTATGGGTTTGGGTAGATCTAGCCCGCATCTGCGCGGATGGTGGTTGCATGAGCACCACGGATGATGATTTGCTCGAGCGGGGGTAAGTGTATGGTGACCTTGGCGCCATTAATAATAACCGGAATTTTCATATCATGCATTGATATTGTGTTCGTGAAATTATGTGATTATCCTATTGGATAAATTGATTCGGTGATGGTGAGTTGGTGGATTCGATAATTTGATCGATAATTTATATATGATGAATTAAGATGGCATCTAGAGTACTAAATTATGATTGATTACGACTGCTTGATTAGCTGATTGCGGTCCCAAAACTAGGTCGTGGGAAAGATCCACACACACAGCTTAGTTGCTGACCCACTTCTGTTCAGTTTCTTACAGGTTCGATTGAATTGAGAGAAACTATGGCACTGCACAATGATCGATGGAGGATTGGTTTTGAACTTTTCCCAGATTTTCAAATGACTCTCATTTATGTTTTATGAGTCAATGATTTGGGTATTGCATAGTAGATGGTACCGTAATGAACATAGTAGTGAATGACACTCTGATTTGGTTGACATGAAATAAATGAACTAGATCGAGTTGATCTTTGGTATATGATGAGTAATTTGAGAATTTATTGTTGTGATTTTGGATTATAATGATGTTGGTATGTATGATAACTGTAGTAAAACAGTTGAGTTTTTACGTAACCCCCGATAGAGATTCCGTTGTGCGGGTGAACCATTGTTCCAACCCATGAGTTTTAGGGTGGGGTGTTACAGTATCTTTCTCTGTCCTTATGAATGGCACTCCCTCGGGTTATTTCACCTCGTCCAGAGGCTTACGGAAAGGGGATCCTTTATCCCCTCTTTTATTTGTGTTATGTACGGAGGGCTTTTGCGGCACTCCTTCGAAAGGCTATCCTGGATGGTCGGCTAGAGGGGGTAAAAGTGGCTCCTCGCGCGCCCCGAATCTCCCATTTATTCTTTGCCAATGATTCTTATCTATTTTTGAGGGGTACTCTCCAGGAATGTGAAATTTGATAGAGGTTCTGAATGAGTATGAGGAGCTGAGTGGCCAACGGGTGAACCTGGATAAATCGGCTGTTTGTTTTAGCCGGAATATTGTTCGTGCGGATCAGGAGTTTTTGGCTGCTATTTTAGGAGTGGGAGTTGTAGGGGTCCATGACAAGTACCTTGGGTTACCCACGCTGTTTGCGCGTTCAAAAATGGCCACTTTCAGGTACCTCGAGGAGAAATTATTAGAACGCCTTCAAGGGTGGAAACAAAAGACCTTATCTTGGGCAGCAAAGGAGACACTGATAAAATCTATCGTTTTGGCCCTGCCATTGCATGTGATGTCCTGCTTCAAGTTACCTGTCTTGTTGTCTCGCCTGTTGGACAAACATGTAGCCCGCTTATGGTGGGGTGATGCTGTGGACGAATTTCGTATTCATTGGATGTCCTGGCAGAATATGTGCCGTAGTAAGCATGATGGTGGGTTGGGGTTTCGACGCTTTGAGCAATTTATTCAAGCGCTCTTAGCTAAAATAGGGTGGCGCATTCTTATGGAACCCCAGTCCCTGCTGGCTTAGGTTTATAAAGGCAAATACTTCCCGAGAGGCACATTTCTTGAAGCAACGGCTAGATCTTTCCCTTTGTGGGGCTGGCAAAACATCCTTTATGGCAGGGATTTGCTGATGAAGGGTCTGCGATTATAGATGGTCATTCGGTTATCGGTTTCCGGTTAACCGGCCGGTTAAACCGACAACCAACGGTTACCGGTTAACCGAAAAATGGGCTGTCGGGCAGTTGGCGGTAGCAGGGCTAGCCATGCCGGTTAACCGGCTAACCGACACGACTATCCCCTCTCAAAATGCCGCCGCCCAGAAACTCCCTAAACCCTAATCGTCTCAATCCCTCAATCTCTTCTGCAGCATCGCGAGAGCCGAGAGTGGAGAGTGCCGCTGTCGCCTGCCACTGCGAGAGTCGAGACGCAGAATCCCCTTCCTTCCGCCGCCGCGAGCCCGCAGTCCGCCGGTGCCAGTGTATGCCGCGGTTACAAATCCTTCAGTCTTTTGATAATGACTGCTGCAATGGGCGGGATTCTACCCAGATTCACTGCCATGATTCGAGTTGATATTCTTCCCATCAGATCCAAACCCTTGAGGTCTTGATTTCAGGCTCTCCCTCTCTCTCTCTCTCTCTCTCTCTGTGTTTCTGATTTTCAGGGGTTTGGAAAAGGAAACAGCAAACCAAGAATGGAGATTTGGGTTCACTGTTGCTGGAAAAGGAAACAGCTTTGTCTCTCTTTACCAAAACCATCCCATTGATACTCTCTCCTCTCCTCTTTTTACCCCTTGATTCATTCCCTTTCCTTCCCATCCCTTCTTCTCCAGACCCAAAATGGAACCCTTGGTTTTGACCCGCTCACCACTCTTCTTCTTCGCCCTCTTGTTCTCCGCCATTGTCATTTCCCCAGTTAGATCAGGCGACGCGGAAGGCCTATTAGCCCTGAAATCCACCGTCGATACTTCCAATTCCACCGGCGCCAGTGTATGCATCAGTCATTATTAACCGGTTACCGGTTCGATTAGTCGGTTACAACCGGCTTTCAGTGTATGCCGCGGTTACTTCGATTAACCGAGCAACTAACCGGTAACTGACCGGTCGGTTGCAGGCTAACCGAAGTTTTCCTTTGGGCGGTTGGCGGTAGTTACAGCTGATGCCACGGTTAACCGGTAACTGACATGTCGGTTATCGGTTATAATCGAACTAACCAAAAATCCAGCCCTATCTGCGATGGCAGATTGGTAATGGTCAGTCCGCTTCGCTCCTCCATTCTAATTGGATTCCACCTCTCCAGTTGGATCCTCCTCGGTTTAACCCTCGAGTCTTACCAGAGGGGGGTGACCTAAAGGTTGAGGAGGTAATCTGTGAGGGGGAGGGGCGTTGGAATGATCAAAAGCTTAGCCAATGGTTTGACCCACCGACCTGTTGTGCCATCAAAAGTATACCTCTTCCGAGGCAGTTTGTTAAAGATAGGTTAATCTGGCATGACACCCCTGATGGGTTGTTCTCGTTTAAGTCGGCCTATCACTTAGCAGACTCTGTTGATAAGCGTCGTGGGGTTGGAAGTCTATGGTCATTTGGATGGATAGGTCGAGTTGTATTCGTTTGTGGGAAGCCAATATTCCTCCCAAGTTAAAAGTCTTTCTCTGGCAGATTCTAAATCGGACTCTGCCTACTACTGAGGCCCTTATTGAGAAGCGGGTTCCTGTGCTTCCAAGATACCCGGTGTGTTGGGACTGTTCGGAAACCATGGAGCATCTCTTTCTTGACTGCCCAGTAGCGCGGGCCCTTTGGGATTATTCTGGTTTGGCTCACCTAGGGGAGGGGCTTCCACAACATACGTTTCTTTTGTTCCTTAAGCGTCTGATGGCTTTGATTCACCAACCTACTATTCTTATGGCATTTGTGGCTGTCCTCTGGCGTATTTGGCGATCTCGTAACTGAGTTGTCTTTGAAGGCTAACAGTTTGGGTTTCCTGCCTTGATGTGACAGTTCCAGCAGCAATATGAAGAGTGGGTCCGGCTTCCGGTGGATAAAGCCCCCCATTGTGTCCAGACAGAGCACACTCATCAGGAGCCTGGTCGGATGGATGGGGCTGTGTGCATGTGGGATGGGGTTGTCCGGAATGGTTTGCACTCGGCTGGAGGTTTGGTTATTCTCACCCCGGATCCGGAGGTTTTGATGGCGAAGGGGGTGCAATT